TTGTTCCAAAATCGGAACTTTTCGGATCGGAACCGGCGGAAATTGGAAATTCTGTTCCAACTTGCACCCCTAACTGTAGTTATATATACAATCTTTGTCATTTACTTTATGTATACGTTATTTAAAATATACTGTATAATGTATTTATAATATACTGTATGTACAATTCGAAATATGGTATATTAGAAATTGTTAAAATTTAAATAAGGTATTCGAAATATACTGTATAATCTATATATAATATACTGCATTTACAATTCGAAATATGGTATATTATAAATTGTTAAAATTTAAATTTTCAAAATATTGCATATTTATTAAATAGTATAATTATTTTTAATTTGAAATATGGTATAATAGAATATATGAAACACGGTATAATATAAATTATATACAAAACATATTGTATATTTATTAAATAGTTCAATTAAAAAATAAAACATTTTTTTTATAATTATTTTTAATGGAATGGATATTCGAATATTCCAAAATATTGAAAAAAAAGTAACGTATTCCTTTATTTTAATTATTTAATATTAACAAATGTTTTTTCCGAAAATTCTTTGAATATTCGTAAAAAAATTGAGTATCATAAATTTTTCAATAAATATATTTTGAAATACCGGAAATGTAAATAAGATTTTTTTTATTACGAATTTATAAAATATTAATTTTGGGAATAATATATATACACGTGGTAATTGTTTAAATGAGTGTATAAATGTTAAATAGGAAATAACTTAAATACATATCAAACTAAAATTGACAACTCACCAATTGAAGAATCCACCTCATCAATTGAACTCCAACTAAGCAATTTTGATAAATGACATCATCATTTGCCACATGTCAATCATTGAGGACATAGATCCTCTTTTTATATTATATATAGATAGCTTTATTGATCGTACCTTGGCATTAAATAATTATTAATTATGAATTCCCTATAGTTGCTTTGATATAGTACGAGTTGATTTTGTAACTTGGTAGATGTCATATGATACTAGTTACTATTGGTTCGAATAATTACAGGTGAAAATTGGAATACAAATTTTGAAAATTCATCAATTTCGATTATGATCGACCTAGTCCAAAATGCTATAAGCTCAGGCTCAAATTTCTTATTAAATGGAGGCCCGCTTTGGTTTGATTAAATTATAAAATTTAATTAGCCCATATCCACATTCATTTAATGGAGAGTATTAATACTTCAAAACCTTGAAGATTAAAGGTAAATTTTGATCATTTTTACCAATTCCATTCTTGAATTACCTTAGGGTTTTTTTCCTGAATTCGAAGGTTGACTCAAGTGTCGCGTCGGATTTCTTCCTTGGGGTTTTTCGCCCACAAATTCAGAAAAACAAACGTCTGCAATAGACATTAGTCTGAGTTATACACAAAATTTGATAAACTCGTGATTTTGAAGATTAATATTGCGATATCCGGGCAAAACAAAAGTTTGAAAGGAAAAAAGAATGAATTTAGTGCTAGATTTTGATTTATTAAATAAAACGTCATAAGTTTACTGAAAGGCGTCTTATTCTTATCAACTGACGATGAAAAAATGAGCATCATTACTAATATTTTAATCCACAAAAAAATATACAAATTTACTATATATATATTTATTTCAAAAAATATGTATATAAGGTGGAAATTACATCAAATAGAGCCAAAGAAATTTCAACGGAGTGTATGAATTTGGTCACATGGATGATGACATTGCAATATTATGAAATCCATGCAAGTGAAATACACTATAAATAATTGTGACGTGTAGACATTTGTTCATACATTATTCCCCCCAAATATAGAAGATATCATATAACATAATAGTTTAGATAAGATAAGCATTGAACATATTAAGATAAATAATAAATAAACAAATATACATATAGTATTAAGAAATGATTATTCGAAATAAGAACTCATTCAAATTTAGTTATTGACTTGACATAAATTATTGCTCGATAAATAAGAAAACAAGAGTTCTCCATACTCGATCCGTTCGAATTTGTCAACAGTCGTTCTAATTCGAACAAGAACTTGAAAAATTATATAATTGATGTGTTCGGATCGACTTAATTTGGTAACGCAAACGTTTATATATCTACAATTTGTTGGTTGAAAGTTATAAATTTACAATTATAGTTTCTGATTAAAAAAAAAAAAGTAAATAAATAATAAAATAAAAACAGAGCCAAATCCGTACAAGTAATAAATTGAGATTAAACTAATCATAGCCAGATCAAAAACTGATTCACGAAATGTACCAGAATGTATAAAAAGGTTTACTACTGCACAAGGTACAACACCTGAAAAGCAACCTTAACCGCAGGGAATCTCTCCCCCAAATGAACAGAGAATGTGGGGTCCACACGCGTGCACTCACGGCCATTGAGATTGGTGACGGAGATCGGACGGCTGAGAGGCGGGCTCTGTGATGGGAGCTTTCACGCCGGGCTAGGTCACCCCTAGCACACCATACGAGGTGCGTTGGTACTAAAACTTCGCCGCAATCACAGCGGATAATTATTCCTAAATTTCGGTACTCCCAAACGCCGTTTCTTCACCTTCCCGAACGCCGTTGACGGTTATCCACGTGTCGCGCATGCCGCGGACTGATTAGAATGATCCAATACAGTTGTGTGGTAACGGAGACTTTTTCTTTTTTTTTTGATTGACTTCACGCGCCACTCTCTTGGTATTCATCAAGACCTGAATTTATGTTTTTCTGAACTTGGCATTATTTTAGGTGGTTTCCTAAATCGGCTTAGTTCGGACAATTTTGATCGAAAAATAGATGCATGATGAGTAGTACGAAAAATTCAATTTCTAAACGTATTCGTGTTTTGTGATACGTTTTGTTTCTAACGCCCGAGGATACATGATGGATCATTTTTTTAATTTTTGAAAAATTATAAAACATTTTTTAATAGTAAATTTTCCAATATTTTTGTCAATTTCCTAATCCTATACATGATTTAATATTTTAATGAGTAATTTGTAAATTAATAGTCGATAATATTATTTATTTTGAATATATATGTCTGAAAATATATAAAAAAAGAATATACATATAAATAAAAACTTATATATGCTTATATATCATATTTATAGATATATCTATATACTTTTAATATTTACATATTTTCCTCAAGTTTACGTAATCCTATTTTTGGGATATGCAGTATCCTTTGTCTGTTTCCCGATATCGCCGTTTCTGCAGCCATATGTCATATGAAAATCATATTTTTTGCATTTGATTTTCCTTCAAAAGGAAGAAAAAAAGGAACAACATTTTATTTTAAATATTTTAGCCCATCCCTAAATTTATTTAATAAGAATTAAATCAAAGAATTATGAGACATTTGTTTAAAATATATTAATGATTGAATTTTTTTTTGAGATTTTTATCATCATTGTCTGACTGCTGTAATCCATATATATATGGGGTAATTATTGAAGTATTTTACTAAAATACGATTTAAAAAAAACATTAGCACCCCACAAATGATCAGTAATTATTGTTAATAATATTATTATAATATACTAGTATAATAGCAACATTATTGAAAGATTTCAATCAAAGGATTGCAGCATGTTTTGACCCCCATTGACTATGCACAAATTAAAAGGCTGTGTTCACTTTTCAATTTTGACTTTGAAACTCACCACTAAATGTGAAATTGTAATGATTTAGGAATTAAACAGTTCTTGCAATATACTTAATCACCTTATATATTTTTATTTTATTTAAAAAAAAAAAGAAGTGGTGGGTGGGGCCCAGGCATGAAAAACATAGGCGTGGGGAAAGAGGGGAGCATGAAAAACAGAGTACAAGTATGTTGGGATGTAAGGAGACATTTTTTTTGCATGTAAGAAAACTAATTATTTTTTTTTTGTTAATTTTCGTGAAATATGTGGGCCGATATTCCGAGCCTACTTTTTTGGGCCCTTTTTTTTTATTTATTATTTTTTTTTTTTATCTTCTGAAAAAGGGTATTTTCTTTATCCATTTCCCCACTCTACCACTGTCAATCAGTAAAAAATAAATAAAGATATACTACCCCACCACCATCTACTTTCACTATTTTGAGGAAAATTATACTTATTATGGGTGATAATCATATAATAACTTTACAAGGGGTCATTGAATTTAAAGTTAAGGGTTTAAATCTATAATAAGAAATTTATTGAGTTTATTTTGAATTTTCGGGCTCCTCTTTGAACTTTTTGGCTCCAGGGATATAAACGAGCCGAACTCGAGCTCTTCGAGTATTGTTTTTCTAAGCTTGATTTTATAATTATTTTTATTTTTTATTTATATTATTAAAAATTAAAAATTATAATATAAAAAAAGTGACCTTTAATTTATATTTTTAATTATTTATTTTATTAAATATATATTTTTTTAAATAACAATTTAAAAAATTAAAAAATTATATCTTCTTACGTGGTTGATATTCTTTGTATATATATATATATGAAAAACGCATATATATTATTTATTTTTTATCTCTAAAGAAAAGAAACAATAAATATATATATATAAACTATTTTATTTTTTTTCTTCTCTTTTTCTTTGTTCTTCTCACTCCATATCCAACACCGAACAACCTATTATAGTCACCCACCACCAGAGCCTTCAAATTCCGGCCACCGCGTGTCTACTCCTCCCAGATCCGGGTCATTAGCCGGTTTCCGGGTTCGTCGGTTTTCTCCGATCGAACCGGGGTTTTGACCTTTGGACCGGGTTCTTGAATTTTCCGCTTTTAGGCATCAAATCGGATCGCTTTTCTTGTGGGTCGCGGCCGGTCCGACCGTCCGGTCCTTACAACACTGGTCATGACTATAAGTCTATAACAATAAGGCAGTGTTTGTTTTGTTGGGGGGCCAAGTCCTTATATTTGTTTTGTTGAAAATCTGAATTGGGCCCAAATATATTGACCCAAACCCAGTAGCAAACTGAAACCAAAATTAGGGTTTTTGAGGGGCCAAATCTCGACCTCTCGAATCGAACACGCGACCAACAACACAAGGTAAAAACCCTAGAATTTCTGTTGTTCATTTCGGGAATTGATGGAGGGTTTGAAAGAATGCGAGGCAAATTTGGTAGTGCATTTGCACCCGTCGAAGGCTAAATCCGTGAGCGAAGCCATATTCAGCGAGCTCAGCAATCTGCTCTTCACGTAAGTCTTTTTCGACATTTAACAATTCGTTTGTTCCTACGCTATTGTGTTTGATTCCATCGTAATTGATAATTCCCAAAAATTGCGTCTTTTTCTTTTATTCATTTTTATAGGTACAGTGAAACTTTTGGAGGAGTTGTATTAGCTTATGATCCGAATATTCGTAGTAACTTGGGAAAAGTTTTACCTGGAATTCATCCTCATTTGGGAGTTAGTTTGAAAGCTAGATTGTTGCTTTTCAATCCCAAGCCTAACATGCTCCTTGGTATTTTTTTTTTTTAATTTTTTTTTAATGCACTGAAGTTTCGATATTTTTTTTGGGATAAAATTGAAATTTATTGTATTTTCCCCCCATTTACTTGGCAGAGGGAGAGGTGGTTAAAATTACTCCACAGTCAATTCATGCTGTGGTTCTTGGGTTTTCTTCCGTTTTTATCGGAGACGAAGACATTCGCGACGATTTCAAGCATAAAATTGTAAGTGTTCGTCGATCTTGAAAATGATTCATTGTATATATAACTAATGTTTGAGAAGTGTTAATAAGTGTTTGCGTCTGCTCATTTGGTTGCAGAAAAGTGGGAAGGAAGAATACATCAGTCAATCTGATAAGAAACATAAGATAAAAGTCGGGACTATTCTACGCTTCGTTGTCAAAAGGTGAAATACTGCTTTCCCTTTTGTATACGTACTGCAATTTCTCGATCCTTTTTCTTTGCTGGTGAACTTTACTATGATAAATTGGTTTTCAAGTGATAAATTTATGTATTTGCACGTTACGTTAGATTAATAGATGATTACGAGTGAAAATAATCGTTTCGAACTAATGCATGATTGATCTTATGCTTGGACAATTGTTGGCAAAGAGAATGTTTGTTTTGAAGTGAATCGATATTATCGAGCGCTACACTTTGAATTCCGACATTGTTAGTTAATTTCAGTTTTTTTAAATGATATGTTATAGTTTTTGTGAAAACTCACTTTCCGACGTTCTTGTTCTAGCTTCGACGAAGGTATACTTCACATAGTGGGATCAATTGCCGATGACCGTACTGGGTGCGCTCGATGGATGGATAAAAATTCGGATAAATGGACTCAATCCGATAGGTACTTTTTCCCAACTTTATCTATCTAGACTGTATTGCTATTCTCATTTTGACCAACGTACTTAATTAATTTTCATTCAAAAATGACGATCTAGTACCACTAAAAAGACGAAAAATGTACACGGAGAAGGTTTTCAATCTTAGTCGAAAGTTGGCGTAAACTCCACAGGTACTTCATTCTTTTGTACCTTGTTAACGAGTCTTACTAATCACGATTAATGTATTTTTTCAATACCGTTCCATTAATTTTACACTGCCTTACTCTTTAACGGTGGTTTAAAATCAATTTTAGTCTGTGATGAGTCAACGATATAAATATTTCCCATTCTTAACATTTCTCGTCGTATTTAATATCCCCTATTTGATTCTGCAATATTGTTTTTTTGCTAGTATTCATTTTTAAAATTATGCGGTCATCGCAGGATTTTAAGGATCTTCGAGGAAAGAGGCTCCGTGTTTTAAAGATTGTGCTTTGTGAATACTTCGTTTTGTTGGATGTGGATCAAATTCAAATGACTGACATTACTCGGTGCTTGTATATGGATCGGGACACGACAAAAGGTGGAGGTAGTAAATTGATTATCATCATGCAACTACCCATTGTTGTGCAAAAGAATGCTCTGCAATTAGCAATCCCTTTTTTTTTTTTTTATATATATATATAATTTATATATTGTAATAACTCCCAACTCAACGAGTTAATATTTGTTATGATTATCGATTGATCAAATCATAGTTTCTTTCGTACACTGCATCAGTTTGTAGGGAGCTTTGTCAAAGTGGAGTATCGTAGAATTAGATTTCGGTTTGTCTGAAACATCGAACATGGAAAATTTAGAGACTTAAGAGCGGTCCTATTTGCTTTTGCTTTTGCTGAACAAAGTTTTTTCAGCTCCAGCTAGCAACTTTTTTTTTCCGGGTCCACCAGAGAGAGGTGCAAACATTTAGAGGTCGTATTATTTACGAAATTATATTTATTAACGTTGATGCTTCATTCAAGTCCTCGTTTTCTTGATCCTCGTCAAATTTGCAGATGGATGGTTGGAGACATTTTTCTCTATGCTACACCCGGTAAAATGTGTAACTGGGTATATTTTTTTCATTATTTATCTACACGCACCAATGTGGGTATGTGTGTTTTTATGTGTAAACAAGCGGTTGCGATATGGGTTCGTACACCCACGGCGTTAATGATTGGAAGTTAAAACGAGAGATAATTATTTAGAAAAATAGGTTGGTGAATGATGCTCTGATTTGCATCTTCATCCCATGTGCAGTTGCATTTTAATATTCACTAAAATACAGAGGATTATATTGTGACAATATTTTCCATGTATTCTGCCTTCCTAACGTGCCTTTTCCATCCATTCATTTCTCTATTTTAACTTTATAAATCATATATCACGAATATTTGTTTGGTTAATCTTTTTCCTACTAATTATAAATTATAAAATTTGACCTACTTCTACCATCCTATTTTCTATTCTGCTTCAAGGATCTCTGTCCATGCGTTTGCATTTTTTGATTTTTTGATTCAATCGACGTTAATCAGATTTCGAAAAAAGTGTGTTTACATAAATTGATAATTATGTGGAAAATCAAATTGAACTATTCGATACTCAATCCGAGATCAACGATTTAATGTTCGTATATTTTTATTTTTTTTTATCATGAAATTTGAAGACAAGATCTCATTCGGCATATATGAAGTTCAGCTCGAGTGTAGTTTTAAGTGTTTTTAAAAAGTCGAGCTGTGGAGTTTTCTTTTGAACTCGACACCCGGTTGCTAATCAGATTAACCTTAGATACAATTTCTAGAATTCAATAGAAATTTAAAAACAAATTGAACAATAATTTCCTGCGGTATACATTGAAAAATGCTTCAATTAAAATCTAAAGCATAGTAAATACTAGCAAAGATTGCATTAAATCAAGCATTTTCAATCATTTGCTTTAACGCCGCAGCAACAACAACAACAATAATAATAATAATAATAATAAAATAGGATTAAGACTAATTAAGATGTCAACGTCATATACCGGTGAAAGTTATAATGGTGGTTAGAATAAATGATTTTGTGCCTCTTAATAACGAATGTCAAGTGGCTTCCTTGAAAAGCATGTCTAATGACGACAATTAACGATCTAAATTGTACGATTGGAGCAATGATGCGAACGCTAATTAGCTAGAGAGCAATTGATTGCTACAAACGTTAATACGGCTTCGTTTCGTTTCGTTACTGCAATATCAATATTAATATCACAGATAAAAGGTGTCCAAATTTTCACTCACTTGAAATCGATTATGAGAAAACTAATTGTTATGTCATACGTGTATGTATAGATCCTAAGATCGAATCCTGACAGCCGCAGTGTGAGATTTTCAACTCTAAATGAGGGTTGGTTCCTTGTGAGCTAGCACCAAGTCCGGGTCCGCTACCCTAACGGGCCGTTAAGTTACCATAATTTACATTTCTCCATCAACTACTTGTCGGGCAAAGGGATGGACCCGCCTTTTTTGTTACAACAAATAAATAAATAAATAAATAAATAAATAAATAAATAAAAATGTAGATTTAATTTGAATAAATGCGAGAGTAAGTGAAGGCAATAGTTGGCACCCAACTCCAAGACTTGATGGAAGGTATGGAAGTAATGTTGTATGAGATGTAACGAATTTCTTGGGAATGAACTATCAATTATTTTTTCATTTTATTATCATAAATAAATAAATAAATACAAATATTTAATTACATATATTATTTTCAGCCATCCCTCTCTCACACACATATGTAAATGTTACTCCCTCTGTTCCATAATATCTGTCTCTTTTAAGAATATTTTTTGTTTCATATTATCTGTCTCTTTACAATTCCAATACTGCATTAATGACTTATTTTTCAATTTTACCCTTATTAACTCTATAGCACTCTTCTTGCATTAATTAATAAACAAGGGTATTTTGGTCAATTAATATCTATTTTCCTAAAATCAAGACATATTTGTTGAGATTCTTAAGATTTGTGCCAATGTTAAAAACGACACTTATTTAGGAACGGAGAGAGTATATATATACACATGGTGAGTGACGTACTAAAAATTTATTACAGGGTGGGTTCAAAATAAAATTATGCAATCCCCAAAATATATGGGATAATTACTTTAAATTATTTTTTTTTTGTTAAATATAAATTTGGAGGGAAAGTACATATAGGAGAGAATCTAAATTTGGTGGTAAATATAAGTGGTGGGAATAAGTAGATTCTGGTGGGTGGCCACCGCCCCCCACCAGAGCCGGTCCTGAGGGGAAGCCAGAGATGCCACCGCTTAGGGCCCCATTTTAATCTGGGCCCCCGAAATTTAGTTAAAAAAATCCTACTATATATATATAGATACATTTTTCAAATAGAAAATAATATTGCAAACAAAAATTTATAAGACAGAGGCCTCGATATTTTATCTCGCCTAAGGCCCCGGAAACCCTAGGGCCGGCTCTGCCCCCCACCCCTAAATTTAACAGATATATGCTGAAAAGTAGGTGTCTATAAATTGATTGGAAGCTTTCGGTTCGAGCGTGCGTTCATCCCTTCACGTATATATTATTTAATATTTAATATTGCATCATACTTTAAAGAAACTATATTTTAAATTAAATTAGATGATAAAGTAATTAAGATAAGATAATGCCCATATTAGATGTCACATATTCAACTTACGTAGGATATTTAAAAGTGCGTTGAAATTTGTTTAAGGTTCAAAGTACGTACTCATTGCACCTCCATCTGTACTACTGTCTTCAACCTTTTCTTTTTTCTAGGGTTCTTTCTTTTTTTTTTAATTTTATTATTAGGTTGGATTTGTATTTTACGTAATTAATAAATAATATGTTTGGATATGAATGGAATAATTGGCTGTTAAAGTTGTGTACATTTATTTATTTATGTTCTTTGACTACAAGTGTTGTACTCCATTATGGCATTATGCATATTTGGAACCATATTGGAAATTAGCAATTCGAAGGTCTTTTTTTTTTTTTTTTTTTTTAAATGCAATTTAATTTGTACATATTAAGATTCTTATTTGCACCATCTTGAAAAAAAATTAAATGAACCATGTAGCATTCAAATGGACTATAATACCCTTTTAATTAACCCTTAATTTTGTTTTTTCTGTCAAGTGATCAAGAACAAGTAAAGAAATCGAAGTAATTCCGCGCTGTAAATCGATAAGGAATGACTTGGCGGCTGGAACAAATAAATTTGTGTAATCGATCCAGGTTTAAATTTTATTGCCGATGATTCATAAGTCGAGTTTGTTACACATAGTTAACCTAGTGTGATTTACATCTCTCATATAATTTCTAAATTATTATACAAGTGTATATATTAGCATCTATATAGTTAACTGTGGATTTCTTCATTAAAATAAAATAAAAAATAAAAAATTATACATCTAATTGCTAGCAAACAAAAATTAATATGCTGGATTTTGCTGTATTAATCCAATCAACTTTATTTATTTATTCATATAAAAAATAAATTGCAACGGCTGATCAAGAAGTACGGAAACAATGACGTAATACCTAACACACACACACACTTCAACAACACTTTATCTATATGAACTGTCAAAATTTTCAAATTCTTTTTTTTTTTGTTAGTTCATTCAATTATAAAACTTATAAATGTATTGATATGTTTATTGGTCCAGTAAACCCATATTTACTGGGTCACATGCCCAATTTAATAGCCATTTCTACGGAAGTCCAATCACATCCAAATAAGGTTGTCTGATCTCGGCCCAATCAATAAAGTATAAATACAACTTAAGTTCATTGAATTAAGGTACGCGATTATTATTCAATCAATTCTTCTATTCGAATTCTCTCTACAATTACCAACTATCCGCACGTCTGACTTGAGCGTCGGAGGGGTTTTCGCCGGATCAACCCCCGGCCTAGTTCACGTGTTCTTTGTTCGCAGGTATCTCAGGGGCCATCTAGCACGTGAGCAGTGATCCACTTTGCTCTCTCAGCTCCCTCGATCTCAACTATTTAAGGTGATCTATTTTTAGCATCATCATGTATGTACTATGAATTTCATATGGGGCTTACTATTCATAGTGCAATTTTTTCCGGTTACAGTGCGAAATAATTCATTTGTCAAAAAACCCTTTAACATTTTTCGAAATCCTCTCAACCTCCGAATTTTAAAACTTACCAAATCGTCAAATTTGTCCGATAGTATCATTTAGAACACAATAATTATCAAGAAGTATGAAACCTAAATCGATTTTGAGATTAAAAAATGTGTTTTTTGTCGATTTTCGACATTTTTATGAATTTCGTGTTCTGTTGCACGGAATGAAACACTCCATTTCGTGCAATACAAAACGAAACGCTTTATTTTTCAGAATTTTGTATTATTTCGTGTAAATTTACACGAAATGCAAGCTTGCATTTCGTGTAAATTTACGTGAAATACAAGCTTGCATTTCGTGTAAATTTACAGGAAATGCAAGCTTGCATTTCGTGTAAATTTCCAGGAAATGCAACGTGAAATCACTATTTTTTCCTAATTACTCCATTTTTAACACTCAAATATATACAAGAGAATAACAACATACTTAAAATGAAATTCATATACTAAATAAATTAAATTCATATGTGAATATAATTTAAAATAAACCTATATTTCGTAAACTACGTGCCATACTTTAAATGTAATAACGATATACACTAATCCATAAGACGTTGCATAGTATTCATAACAAAAAATATATATTGCAAAATCTACAACCAAACTACAAAAATTATATGGTTTACATGCTAAAAAAAAAAAAAAAATTAATAGTAAACAGACCAATTTCTTTAAAACAATAAAGAAAAAAGTTAAGTATTAAAAGTGTATGATTTATGGTCATTTAATTTATAATATTCATCAATGTAATTATTATTATTATTATTCTTATTATTATTATAAGATTTAGGATCGTATGTA